CATTTGCAACTAAAATCAATCCAAACATTCTACCAAAAGCCAAGTCGATCCAAACATTCTACCAAAAGCCAATCCAAAATGATTTACATCTTCAAAACAACTATTGTCACCATTACAAAAATAAGAACTAAGAGACCTACAATTATTTCTACCAAAGTCTTCAACTGTCCATGCCCCTGCCCCCGCCCCTGCTTTGTGTGAGTTGGGTCGATAATGTGGCCATCTTCTTCATTGTACCATTTGAAAAAACCACAGTCCTCTTCTTCCACCTAGAAAAAACAATAATTTGTATGAAGTACATACCTTTTTTCAAGGTTTCTCAAGAAATTTACAAATTAGGGCAAATTGTTTACCTTGTAATTAGGGCACCCGTAAAACTTCTTTCCATAGTTCTCAGGTGTTTGAGCAACAGATACCTTGCACACATCTCCACAGCCACATCTAACTATTCTTTTCTTTCTCGATGTTGGACCACCTTGGAAGCTTGATTTGGCAGACGAAGTCGACATTTTACAGATACTTAGGGTAGAAGACGGGGGAGAGAATAGAAGACAAGGGAAAGACTTTGGATCGATGTTAACGGAAGACGATGATGTTTGGGGGTTAAAAGGGGGGATGTAACCGGTTGGTAAAGGGGAACCGGTAAAAAAACATTAAAAATGAAACATGAGGGGCAAATGTTAGGCATCTATGGCAAAAAAAAAATCGATTTTGGGCATAACCGGTTTTTTATGTAAATTCGGGGGCTTTTATGACAAAAACCCATCAAACTAAGCATGATAGACGCCTAGTAGGCAGTAGCCTATTTAAAACCATTGTATATGAGTATCCTATATCATTCACGCTTTATGATTGATGCATTGTGGTCTGAAGAAATATTTGCTCCAAACAATAAAGGAATGCAACAACCCTTTCTTTTGCATATAGGTTTGAATATATGGGGTAACTTTGGGTCCTCAATTTTTGGATGATCCATAACGATCTTGTTTCACGTGGTTGGCTAGAAACTCGTGTAAATAATCTTATAAGTATTAAACCGGAAAATATAATAAAATGCATCGATGTTTGTTAAAATGTTCCCCTTTGTCAATAACATATCACTATGTGGAGTCTTCTACCTACTAAATACTCAACTCCCCGGCTAAAGGTGGGCAGTTATTCCCATCTATTTTATGGATTAGTTTGTATGTTGAAAATTAATGCCATTTGTAAATAGGTCCAAGCCTTCATATGTAGATTTGTAGGTCTATATTCATATTCATAAAAGCTATTATATTGCTTTAGATTTCAAAATTTAATATTCATATCTTTGCGTATGCATTATTTCCCTTCAATAGTAACAATAGTCGCCATTGTGTGTATTGTTTACTTCAACGGTCATTGGTGGTATGGAGCTGACTACGTGGACTTTAATAGTTTACAAGAGTTCGCTTTTAGAAGTCATAAATGGGAAAATCTTGAAAAAGTTACTAGCTTCTATAGCTAACATCAACGAGTTCTAGTTCTTAAAGTCCATGCATTATTGGACATGGACAAAGATTGGAGAGGAGTGCACCCATGTGAATTTGAATATTCAATTTGCCGAAGGCATACCTCAGCAAGTTAACGGAAAGGATTGTGGGATTTTATTTTATTTTTTTTTCCAAATTGGCATAAGATATCCATTTTTCTGCTATTTTTATTTCTTTTTAACATCATTATTCTTTTTTTTGGATCTCTACTATCATAACTCTTCCAAAATTCACCTGTCAACTTTCTGGTTAACCACCATCACCATGCACGTGTCGGTGGCCCAAATTTCCCAGTTCTTCGTTATAATTAACATTTAACAAATAACAACGATTAAATAGTCTGATTTCTGACACCTCTTTGTTTTGTTTATTACAAGTGTAGCCAATGCAAGTGGAAACCATAAAAATGACAAACTTTCTGCCCATTACGCAATCAATGATTCATCTATCATAAATCTTAGTAGACTACTCACTCTTTACAAAATAAACATGTTTGAATGCAAATTGACTTGCTCAAGACAGAACGAAAAGAATAAACAAACAAGATAGTGGTAAGGCTAGTGGGCCTCCCTCTCCACGCCCCACACCCCTCCAATCATTGATAAAAACAGATTTGCTAATCCATCGCCATCAATCCACATATAATAAATCTCCCAAAACAACCACAACTAACTGTCAACAGCTTTTGCTTCTTTCTTTGGAACAAACTTTCTTTCCCAAAAGTCAAAATTCCAAAATATATAACATGCCAAAAAAAGGATTCCCTTTACAAAATTGGGATCCACCCTAATTACATACATTACCTTCCATTCCAAACGAAACCTGCTTTCTTTAACTTTAACCTAAACAAGAATAACATAAACCAGCGGCACACTGTCAATATTTTCAACATTTACCCTAAATTCAAAATATAATCATCATCCTTATCTGATTTTATTTTTATTTTAATGTTTAAACTATTTTTTAAAGTTTAGAAATTATAATGGTATTAAAAAGCGTTGCAATTGAAAAAAGTGGACTTGATGCAAAAAAACATAAAACGATAGGGACCAAATTCGTAATTTAAGAATAGAGAACAAGACCTTTTCTTGTCTTGGTGGGTCTGATGACTGGTGGAGTAGACCTTCTATCTGATTGGGGGACCGTTTTCATGGGCTTGGGCTTCTTTGTGGTGGTGGATATGAAGCCTGATGGAAGAAGAGCTTCTACAGCTTCCCTTTGGTGTTTCCTTTTAGAAACAGCCTCAACACTAACACCCTTTTTTTCTACTTCACTACACCCTCCTCTACTTTCTTCTTTCCTTTTTTTATCCACACCCATATTTCCACCTTTTTCACGTGTCACTCCATCTTCATCATTGCGTTTCTTTTCTGCTGATGATGATGAATCATATTGTTTTTTTGCTTTGTTCTTTTCTTTATCTACACCCAAACCCAAATTACCATCATTACTAAACCTTTTCCTCTGTTCATCATGTCTGTTAGCCTTCTTCCCGTTTTTAGTAACCTGTCTCGAAACATCATGTTTACTATCTGGAACATAATTACTACTCTTTAGTGAGTTAAACACAGAAACATACGGTTTTTTAACTGATAAAACCAAATTTCTCTCGTTAGCATCGTTAACAAGTGCACCCCAGTTTTTATTTGTCTGTAACGTTCTCACGTTTCCCAAAATCCATAACGAGTGTTTTGCCCTAGTCAAGGCTACATTCATTCGTCTGACATCAGCAACAAACCCGATGCTTTTTGAGTTTGTTTCCTTTGTTCCGGAAGGTGGGCCCGCTGCCCTAACTGTTGACACTACAAGTATGTCCACCTCACGCCCTTGAAAACCATCAACAGTGTTGAGCTCCATTTCTTCCATTATTTCAGACCCAAAAGCATTCAAAAAACGTGTGCGTAAAAGTGAAAGCTGAGATCTATAAGGTGTTATGATCCCAATCCTTCCTCCAACAAACTCCAATGGATAACTGTCAAAATAAAAATAAAAACTTTAACCAAGAGTAAAGATTAAAGAACTAGGCTATTTCCTGCAAACAAAAATATACCTCCTCCTGAAAAACCTTAGAAGTTCAACTGCAGCATCAGCTTCACACTCATTGTAAAGGGACCCAGAGTTTTTACCATGAAGCTCTTGTCCATCTACAATATCAAAGAATAAATAAGGCCCGAGGCCTTTTGTTTTGTGAAATGCTTTTTCTTTGTTGGACATTTCATCTCCATTCAGTAAGTTGCCATCATAAAAATGCAAAGAAGGAAACCGACATATCTCTGGATGCATCCTATACTGTAACAAGTAAAAACTAATAATTAGTAAATTCTGAAATAAACTTTAAAAAAAACATATAAAGAAGCAAAGTCTACCTGCTTTGTAAGCATAGTAACAGGGTGTCCAGCTTTTTGTAAACGTTCAAACATACTACATTGATACCGATATTTACTTGCAACATCAGAGAGAACAGTTGCAGGTAGTTGCTTTGGATCACCCACCATAATACTTTTGCTACCCTTTGATTTCAACAGCTGAAGTGGAATCAAAGTAGCAGGTTCCAAAGCCTGACAAGAACAATATGATCTTGAGTCAAGTCAAACCAGGTCAAACAAAATAAAAAAGGAAAGAAAATCAAAATAGCAGCGTACTTGAGCAGCTTCATCGATTACAACAGCATCAAACAATGAAGATTCAGAGGAAGTGCTGAACTTATGAGTTGACATGGATTCAGAGCACACTGAGTAAAGATCTCCACCACATCCACTCAATGTTGTTAACACAATTTCAGCTTCTTTTAGTATCGATTTACGAAATTTAAGTTTTAAAGCTTTTGTTTTTTCGTAAGATTTCTTCTCACGTAACTGAGCAGCAGCGAGATCGATGTAGACTGATTTCTTTTCACTGTATAGTGATCTTAATTTCACCCCAATTTCCACATCAGACATTTCCTTCATGTCCACGTCATCATCTCCTTCAAGAACTTGTTTTGAGTCAGGGTCTCCATTGCTTAAGTTAGCCCGTTTGGCTTCAAGAAACTTAATCCGGTCAACCAACTTTTCTAGCTTCAAACGAAGAGCATTAGAAGAATGAGAATCCGCATCATCACTTTTCACATCACCTCCAGCATTACTCTCCTCGGTCAAACGTTGGTCAACGAGGGTGTCGATGAAGAAAGGAAGAGAATTTTGATGAACTGTTTTTGAGTTCCCAACCCTAACAAGATACGGCTTGTACATTGTTCCATCATTTCCATATAATCCATGACTTGAAATTCTTGACACGAGTTCATCAACAGCAGCATTTGATTGTGCACAAATCAGAACTCTACCTCCTCCACCATTAGTAGGTCTGGAGTTTTTATCCTCTACATCCTTCAGTTGTTTGGCCAAGGCTGCATCCTGCCAGGCACGTGCAATCGCAACAGATTGACTCATTTGCCCTTTAGGTCTTGATACATTTACACCACTTTCAGTTCTTGTTCCAGTGTTGACTTTGGTCAACGAAAGCAAAGCACTGACAATGGCTACAATTGTACGTGTTTTCCCAGTACCTGGAGGACCTTGTATAAGAGATAGATCATGAACATCATCATTTTTCAACCCCATAGATCTTGTGACACTGCTTATGGCTTGAAGTTGAGAGTCGTTAAATGATGATTCCAGAACTTTCTGTAAAGATGGGGAGAGCTTGCTCAAATTTGTTCTTGATTTAACAACATTAGGCTGGTTGTTAGGGTTTAAGATGGTGGAAATGAGAGGAATACTGTGTATCGATGAAAGTGCTTGAAATTCTCTAAGTTGTGAAGTGATACTCATGATGCGATGAATGTACCACTTGCTTCTTTCCATTAAGAGCTTTTTAGCACGATTTAGACGCGAAGATCCGTTTTGAAGATAGAATTTGATCATTAAAATGCTTGATCTTCTTTTATAATCTTTTTCACATCTTTCCACCTTTCCAACCATGTGGACATCATTAGATGATTTTTGAAAAGGATGTCGGGTAAACAATACAAGGTCGTTTTCAACACAGCTTCTAGAACCTTCTAGATCTTTGTCATCATGGACACAACGAACAACATGAAAGTCATCAACTCTTTCAACAGACATCACAGAGAGACTTCCACATGACATCTCATCTGAAGAAGTCAACTCCATGAACGAACTGTGTAGCTGTGCTTTTAATTCTTCCAACACCAATGGACGAAAAACTGCCACGTAATCATCTGGAGATTGGAAAGAAACAGGAACCTCTTTTAATTTCCCTGTTTGATTTTTTTCTACAGTTGACGAAACTAACCCTACTGTAGCAAAATAATCCATCTCTAAAATAGGTCTGAACCAATCGTCTAGTCTTAGAGGTTTAAACCTCTGTTGTCCAACACGCATTCTATTTTGGGAAGCTCGGTTTTCAAATGGCATGTTTAGTTGGATGACCTGGCGTTTTGGGCCACTTAATTTTGCAAGGTGTGATTGATGATGCCTTGCGGATTTTAATGCAAATTCCCATGGATCATCTTTAGCATCAAATACCAACTCCTTGATTACTCTATTATCACTCTTTGGTGGAATCTTTTTGATACCTTGGTTAGCCCTAGTTTCATCAGATACATTCTTCAAACTTGATGCACGCTGATATGGAACTGAATTTTCCATTTTAGAAGTAAGATTTTCTGAAGATGATTTTGCCAAACAAGGTTTTTTCTGCACATCGGATGATTTTCCTTTTCCTTTACTTGTGCCTTGTACAGACTTCTCTATAGAAATAGAAGATGATCTTACTCTGTCCACAACCACATTATTCTCTGCCTCCACCTGTGTTGTTGAAGTTGGAACCTTAAAAGAAATGTTCTTAGCTGCATTTAGTTGTGAAGCTTTTTCAGCAGTTTTTGAGCCCATAGCTTCTCCATCTAATGATGAATGACTTGAAACACTCACAGTGTCAATGGAATCTTTTACATCGATCTCATCATCTGAAAGAATTATCACACTTTCTCTCTCTGGTTTGGCGCTAAAATCTGAATCCAAAATCTCCAGATCTAAAGCTTCGACTTTTTCAGAGGATGAATTCCTTTTGTGCAATAATGTGGAATTGAAGTTTGTTTCCCCATATGCATTCTTCAATGAAACGGAAAGGCATGATATCTGATTGGTTAATTCATCAACCGGAATGTCTTCTGTAAGCAAAAAGTAAAACATGAACTTGAACTTCAAAAACTAATATAGAAAAAGATATAAACTAAAGGAGAATATATTATATATCAATGGAAACATACCAGATTGGATAAGTTTCTCAATGGCAATGATATCAGATGTTTTATCATTACATGACTCCTTAAGTAGATCAAGCAAAGAAAGAACTGTTTGTTTCCAATACCGAATTACAACAGCAAGTGTAGACTTTCCCCAATACATCAAATCATGAAGCCATTTATATCCAACTGATTTTGATACCAAAATGTCTGGATCTCCTGGTATTCTGTTCATAGATTGCTGGAGCCTTTGGAGAATGACAGGTAAGCATTCAAGTATTCTGATACATGTCATCTGAAACAACAGTAAAAAAAAAAAAATTGTTGAACTCCATTGGTCATGCACTCATGCTATGAATACAAATGAAATTTCTGAAGGAATTCAGAAAGATAACTTAATCATACCTGGGAGATCTTGTAGTCAATGAATGTCTTTCCTTCAGACAAACATATGCAAAAAGATGGCCATGCAACTTCTGATAATAAGCAACCAAACTTTTTCCAATGTTCAGAATTGAACTTTGACAACTTTCCATTGATATTAGCATCCATGGATTCAAATGTAGGCTGCTGTAAAAATCCCCCTTGGGATGAAAACTTTAAATTACTATTACCCTCATTTTTGCCAGATTGTACCCCTTCTGTAAGTATCTTGCATAGTACAAAAAAGAAATGATGCAGACTTTGAAATCTTTGTAGCACCGAATCCAACAGAAGCTGAAAAGAACACCAAAACAAAAGACAATTCACAAATTTGAGTGACATGTTCAAATAACTAAATGACTAATAGAAAGAACAATACCAATTCGCAAGCATGTCTGAGCCCTAGAAATACAGCTGATATTGAAGCTGAACATGAACACAAAAACTGCAAACAGGAAAGAAGGCCACGTGTGTTTGAAACTTGTTCAAGAATTCGCCTACCAACTTGCCTTGCATTCTGCAAAAAGAAAATGATAGAATTCTCAAAACCAATTCATATAATAATATTACATAATTAATGACTTTGAAGGTTAGTATTTAGTATTTAGTATTTACATCATCAGGATCAACAAGCAAAAGGATTAAGCTTTCAGCCATCCTTGGTTCCCAACTCCATTGCTTTTGAAGCTCACCTTGCTCCATTCTTGTAATAAAATAGGATGTAAACCTGATTAACATTATCCAACATTTCATTATAATACAGTATTTAAACAAAGATTTAGGGAAAGCAAAAAAAATTAACCTTCTGAATGTTCTGATTAATGGGATGCACATTGTTGAGACTTTGACTGAATTCTTTGACTCTTTTCCATCCCCACCATCATCAGAACCAGATGGTGCTTTCCACCCAAATAGACATGATACTTCTGGTGCACGTGTAGTTAACCAACTTCCAACTGGAAGTGCCATGTCAGCGATAGTTTCAGGTTCAACCATAGAAAAACGAGATAAACCCCATAAAACTGCTTTAGAAAATGATATTGGTAGAATCACGGGATCAATTTCGACTAAAACATCAAACCATAGCATTGGAATGCACATCCATGCCCCATATTCTGATGATGTAGTTTGACTCTGTTGACTAAATCCATTCCAACAACTGGTGTCCTTTTCTTCAGTATCATCTGCAAATAACCCTTCATTCTCATCTTCATCTTTGAAGTCAATGATATTCCTATCAACAATTTTGTGTATTTGACAGTGTAGAATTGAAGACACTAAGGCAGATGCATCAGAGACTATGATAGTTTGGATCAAATCCAAAGCAGGTTGCCTTAGAGAACTGTAGAGTGATGAATCCTTGAGAGATGCCAATAGAGAAGGACCCCTGTCCCATAAACATTATCATATACAACGGAGTAATGATTTTACAATTAATGTGTGAAGAAATAAGACAGAGAATTTCATACCACATGTGTGCACATTCAAAAGGTGGACAGGAGGGATTCATCTTGTAGCCTCGGTGGATGATGAGAAGAGCTATCTGTGAACAAAATGTTGGCATCAAAGATCACACATGAGAGTTATCAATTATAGAGTATTCAAATAAGACACCTGGCAGGCTTTTTTTCTCATTAGATTGCTGAAGTTGCTACTAACAGTGACTTGATGTAGGAGAAAGTAGAGAAAATGCCTGCGTTGTTTCTTGTGTTCTTCATCTTGCAAAGCTTCAAGAGACTGCATAAATAGGCTATAAGATCATAAAGTATCATCATATAATTTTCAAAGTAAATAATGTACAAAAACAGAAGAGCATGCCTGAAGAAAAGGTGGGAAAAGATCAAATATTTCCTTGTGGCTCTTTTCATCTTTAGTATGAAAACATTGACCAAGTAGTGTGTCACGCATTACACTTGGTGACAATGTTGCCCTTAACCAAAGTTTACATCCTTGAAACACAAAAACACTACTTTAGAAGACATTAACTACCAAATGAGCATGCAAATAGGCATAAAAAAACAAGGAAAACATACCAAGCATATCGAAAAGTAGTCTAAGGCAATTGATTGCATAAGAAAATTCAAGGGAATCATCACAGATATGGTTAAGTACAATATTCAGAAAGCTCGGATGACGCTCCAAAATCCCTTCTTCAAATGCATGAGGCTCTAAAAACCCAAGCCTTCATAACAAGCAAATGAGTTAAGACTTAAGACATAGTCATAGAAATACATTCGCATCAAGAATGTTATTAACAAAAGGAGAAAGGGGATAGTTTCAAAAATAGGTAAAAACCCCTCCCTACAGTGCCTTGATTCCAAGCCATACAGTTATTCGATCCAGCTGCATCCTTGGCCTTGAGCTCTCAGAATTAACAGGAATGGCTTCTGTTTCTAGAAATGAGATGCATTTCTTGAGCAAAGGCTGCAAAGGTTCCAAATCTGCTGCATTCCTGTGAGAAAATATAAGATTTAAACAAACTTTGTGAATCTAACAAGAATCAAAAAAGAAATGATACCTCAATTTGCCCATGTATCCAGCTAAACGAAAACCTATAGAGCGACACCTCCTAGTTTTGAGGAAAAGTAAGGCATAAACTCCCTACATAAATCATTGAAAAGCAACTGTTATGAATAAAAAAAAGGGTAAGAAACTGTATATTGTTGAAGGTCTACCGGGTATTGTTGATGCCCAGCCAAAGTAAGTTCATGAGAATCATCAACTGCTTCAATAAATGTTTGAAACTCATTGACCAGAGATTGATCATCCAACAAGACAGGAAACATCAACACCTGTAACACAATAATAAATATTAATATTAATATAAACTGCTGTGATATTTAATAGTCACATTTGATTAGGTTACCTCATACATGACAGTAATAACTTTTGCACTGTCTTTCACAGCATCATACTTCCCGCTTCCTATTCTTGTGTTCGTCTCTTTCAATTGATTAGTCACCCTTTCTTCATCAAGCCTGCATAGAACATCAAGAAGAGGCCCAATTGAGCTCAACTCATACTCCATGGCATATGTTTCTTTTGCTTGATGATGCTGACAGATGCATTGCATGCAATCTTGTAATTCTTCAGAAATTCTTTTCCACAGAAGCTTGAGAGGAGAATCCTGCCGATCATCTTTAAAGTAATTGTAGAATGTTTCTAGAAGTGGCCCCATTATATCCCAGTTGCCACACCAAATATGATTGTCTTTTGAAAGATATATCAAGAAGTTGAATGCATCCGAGAACCTGAATATAGAGCAACAAAAAGATATTGCATTCTTCATAAGTAAATCTGTAGATAGTAAGTACTTAATTAGCGTTCAAAAGATGGATTTAAGCAACTAAAAGGAACATTAAAGCAGTAGCATATAAACAATTTCATTATTTGTTCTTCCATTAAGAAAAACATTGATCATTTTTACAAAATACGTATAGAAATGAGATATGATGGAGATGTACAGAGGAGTAAGGTAATGTTATTGCAATGATGATGCAAAAGCTGGTAAATGTCAAAACTCAAAAGCCAGCCCCAAGCAGTTTATTTATCATTAACCCTTGTATTGATTGTACATGAACATATGCGTATTCGTATTGATCATTAACAACTAATCAGCCTGTCAAGCATATTGGAAGGAGCAATTGCTTGCCTGCTATAGAGTGATCAAGAACACAAAAACAGAATAGTCAACAAATTTGATAGATTGGAGACTATATACTCGCAATAGAATAAAATTATTGGCGGTAATTTATTTTAGAAGAAAGCACCATATTTCTTTGAGATGTTGGATGTGACGTTGTTTTGAGTGATCGAATACGTTTTCTTCATCGTCTTCTTCTTCAATGGTCCTCCATCGGTCCAAAAGCTCTCTTCTCGTGACAATTTTCTTCGACATTTTTCAAGTGTAATAATTAAGAGTACTAATCTACAAGCATTTAACCCTAGTTCAATGTATTATGTATGAGAAATGAAACGAAGCTAGCGAGCCCTGTGGTCTGTGGAACCTAAGGGGAAGAGGCCAAAACCCTGGAAGAGCAGAAGTGGCCAAGAAGGCCAATACGAAGTAGGAGGTTGTTTATATAACTTCGGTTTCCGCTCAACATTCCCTGAACAAGCGTAGACCGGAGGTTGTTTATATAACTTCGGTTTCCGCTCAATATTCTTTCCGGGTCGAACCGCGGGTTAGGTTTTTTTTGCTATTTAGTATTTAGCCCAGAGATAGTGGGCCTAAGGGCCCTCCGGTTTGTATATATTTTATATTATTATTAAGAAAGACGGAGCCACAAGCGGGGTGGGATGTGGCGGTACAGTTGATACCATCGAGATATGATACCTTGCATCAGCGCCTCCAGCGGGTTAGGTTGTTTATTGCATGTAAACGGTTTGGTGAACCCGTGCTATAGTGTTTAAGCATGCAATAATATATATTCTTTCCCGGTCGAACCGCGGGTTAGATGAGAAGGTATTGACTTTTTCTTAATTTTGAAAGAAAAAATGTTTTTACAAAAAAAAAATTTGCTATTTAGTATTTAGCCCATAGAGATAGTGGGCCTAAGAGCCCTCCGGTTTGTATATATTTTGTATTATTATTAAGAAAGACGGAGCCACAGGCAAGAGGTGGGATGCGGCGGTAGCGTTGGTACCATCGAGATATGATACCTTATATCGGCGCCTCCAGCGGGTTAGGTTGTTTATTGCATGTAAACGGTTTGGTGAACCCGTGCTATAGTATTTAAGCATGCAATAATATATATTCTTTCCCGGTCGAACCGCGGGTTAGATGAGGAGATATTGACTTTTTCTTAATTTTGAAAGAAAAAATGTTTTTACAAAAAAAAAAAATTGCTATTTAGTATTTAGCCCATAGAGATAGTGGGCCTAAGGGCCTTCCGGTTTGTATATATTTTGTATTATTATTAAGAAAGACGGAGCCACAAGCAGGGGGTGGGATGTGGCGGTACCGTTGGTACCATCGAGATATGATACCTTGCATCGGCGCCTCCAGCGAGTTAGGTTGTTTATTGCATGTAAACGGTTTGGTGAACCCGTGCTATAGTGTTTAAGCATGCAATAATATATATTCTTTGCACTCAGTAGCGGAGCTAGATGGGGCGTTGGGGATACAGCTATACCCCCAAAATAAATTTTATATATTAAACTTTACATATTAATTTTCTATATGTAAGTAAGTTTAACTACCTTGCATCCCCAGCTCGAAACATTAAATCTTGCTACCTGCTTTTTCTTATTCTCATGAATCGAAGTGATTGTTGCTGAAAGTTTAGAGACAATAGCAAGATCAGTATTCCGCTATCCATTCAAAAACTTTTGTTAAAAAAATACAATTTCAAGAGACTTCATGTTTTTACCCAAATTTTGATTCTTCAAATGTTATTTTAAATTTCGATTATGTTTGTACCTCCGTATTAAAATTTCTAATTCCGCTACTTTCTTCACTATTTTGTTTTCATGCAATGTGTGATGTGAAGACCAATTAAAGTTGTCATTTAATTGTTTACCTGTTCTTTTTTCCTCTTTTATAAAACAATACAAAACATATATATATATATATATATATATATATATATATATATATACTAGTGGGGTACCTGCGCGATGCGGCAGACAACATTCAGAAGGTGGTGAATATTTGATTTTGACGAATAATTTCATTTCAATGGTTATTTATGTTTAAGAAAAATGTGCATTTAAAGTATGTTGTTATTAGTGTTCATCATATAAAATCTCAATATATCGGTTGTACTCCGCCATTTATCGTCCACGCGATTAGCAATGGGACATGTTCAACATGTCATCTATATATGTCATGTTTTCTAATTTTAATGCTCAAATTTATCAATTCACAACTAATAACATGAATAAGTGTATGCACATCCATATTTTGGTATGTTAATGTACATAAGGATTAGCAGCGAGGAATAGATTCAAATAAAAACATTAAATAAAATAAAGCCGTGAATAAACTATTTTTATGTTATTATTCTATTATGGAATTTTATTACGTAATGTATATATAAATAATCATAAACTGATATTCAAATTAGAAATACTACAATATTACTTGTATACAAAATTCATAACAGAATAATAAAATAAAAATAATATTTGATGTTTTCATTTTATTTAATGTCTTCGTTTGGACCATCCCTTATCATTGTTACGTGGTATGTGGTATCTTATTCTATATTTGGAACTCGTTTAGAACCAACAATTTCAGATTTATTGATTAATATTTACAAAACGTAATTTGGTAATTCATAGTCGCATTTAAAAGGATAACTTTGACCGCTATCATTTTTGTTTGTTTTGTGCGTAAGTTTTAATTTATAAATACTAAATTATATATTTTTCAATTTTAGTTTATGGTGATTTATATATTAACTTGAAAAATATATTTTTCCAGCGTATTTATGTATTTGTTCTTTTTTAGAAGTATAATCGGTTTTTGTAATAAAGAAATATGTATAATATAATTTATATTTTAAGAAAAAAAATATCAAACCCATTGCTAAAAAATGAAATAAACTACATAGAAAGTCATTTCTTATAGAATCTAAATTATGTAAAGAGTAACTAAAAATGTTATTATTATTATTAATAAATCTTTTATTATATCATGTCACTATTTTGCATCATATATTCATATTCATAAGTTTAAATTTCATATCCATTTGGGTCTATTTAGTCTCACACATCAAGAAAAGTTTTGATATCAACTTGTTATTTTATACATTCTTATAAAAAAGATGATATTTTTTTCTTTTTTACATTATATTATTAACATCAAATTTGTTTACTGTTATCCGAATGATTTTTTGACATTAGCAAGTCTTTTGTTTCACTTAACACTCACATCTTTCAACTATTTTTCTTACCACTTATCTTTTTTTCTTAAATATTATATTTTTGTTGAAAAATAATGTCAAACTAAATTTTTGGTGTTTTGTTAAATATTATATTTTGATGAAAATATTATGTAATCTATTTTTAAAAACATTGTACTAAAAATTTATAAAAATTTATCAAGTGGGTTTGGTTTAGTTGTATAATATTTCAAAATATAGTTGTTAAATATTATATATATATATATATATATATATATATATATATATATATATGAATATTTTGACATCAATAGATTTTTTACATCAAAAAAATATTTGGTAAATTGTTGAGAATGTGCGATATTTAAAACTATAAACTGAATATGACAACATAGAGTCGTGTGTAAGATGCTCTTATATATATATATATATATATATATATATATATATATATATATATATATATATATATATATAT